TACAAGAAATTATAAATGAAATACATAAAAATAATGAGAAAGGGAAGCCAGGACCCGCTGACAGGATCACCTAGCTGTCCAGCCATGCCTCTACAGAAGACAGAAGGATGTTCACTACCCTCGTGAGGTGGTATGAAAAAGAATGACCCCCAAAGACTCATGTGTTTGAATGCTTGGCCCATAGGGAGTGGCACTATTAGGAGGTGTGGCCTTGTTGGACAAAGTGTGGCCTTGTTGGAGGAAGGGTGCCACTGTGGGGCAGGCTTTGAAGTCTCCTATGCTCAAGCCATGCCCAGTGTGGCAAACAGTTTCCTGCTGCCTGTGGAACAAGAGGTAGAACTCTCAGCTCCATCGCCAGCACCATGACTGCGTGCACGCTGTTATGCTTCGCCATGACGATAATGGAATGACTGCGTGCACGCTATTATGCTTCGCCATGACGATAATGGAATGACTGCGTGCACGCTGTTATGCTTCTCGCCATGAAGACAATGGACTAAACCTTTGAAGCTGTAATCCAGCCATAAATTAAATGTTTCCTTTATAAGAGTTGCCATATTCATGGTGTCTCTCATGGCAATAGAACCCTAACTAAGGAAGGGTCCTTCATCCATACTCAACACTAGAGTTCCCCTAAGCTCCATTCAGGTCTCAGAATGTGCCAGCTTTCTTCCCTTGGAACTTCTGAAGACATGGTTCCTTTAAGATGAACATACAGCCCAATTTTAAGTGAGATTTAACAGTTTTTAGAAGCCCTTCTCCAAATCACCCATTAACTTGTCCTGTCCTTGGCCTTAGATGTCCCATCCCTAGGTACCAGGACCCTTTGCCGTTATCAACGCATTCATCACACTTTATTGCTGACGACTCTGTTTGCATTTCTTAGCAAGTTTCACAAGGCAGCAAGAGGAGGCCTGCTGCTAACCTGCTCATCCTGAAAAGTCAGTGTTTGAGATCATCCTTAGCCCAGAGAATCAGTCAATACAGTCATTAAATGCATAAATATGAAACTATTAAGAAGGGTAAAAAGCCATTTTGAGGATAAGACATTCAAAAGTTAGTAGTAGTTTAGGACACAAGGAACTTGCAGTGTTTGAAGTTGACCTTGAATTCCTCAATCTCCAGTCTCCATCTCCCAAGGGTTGGGATTACAGGTGTGGGCCACCATACATGACTCAATACTCTTATTTAAACACACACACCATATGGGAGCTCTAGGTTTGATCTCCAGCATTAGGGAAAAACTGATGTGGGTCATCTTCATGGAAAAATTATCAGCTATTTTACTAGTTTAATGAAGGACTTGTGACCATAAATACCTTTTGTATACATTAAGACAGACAAAGCCAACAGCACTGATAAACAGGCAAGGTAGGTATTATTATTATCTTATATAAATCTCAAAAAGAAATCCAATATGTACCAGAAAGAACTCTAAACCAGCACCTTTTCCAGTTATAGAAGCCTGTAATATGACGTTGGCTATCTCCTTAAACACTACGGGAGATGCCATGAGCCACCTGAACTGTTTCTCTGGTACGAGCATTTGCAGCCCCCCTGCTCCCAGTGCCGCTCTGCTCATGTGACTACTGACACACAGCCATGAGGGCAGATGGAGGGACAGTTCACTTCACTGGAATGAATCAGAAATAACTGCTTTACAAAGTGCCTCTGGGAAGGAAGGGCCGGTGCCATGGCCTAACTGAGTAGGGGAGGGCTTCTCAACTCTCCAATTTCAGTGCAAACCAACTTGTCTGGATTCCCAAGAACATTTAGGAAAGAAAAAGAAAGAAAGAAAGCGGGGGGCTACTTCTATTAAAAAAAATAAATAGACTCTGAAATTATAATTTTCCTTGTTATAGGAATTTTGAAGAAGGAAACATCTTGATCCATTAAAGTCTGACACGAGTACCCAACTGATGTGGAAAAGAACACGTATTTTCATTTCAAAACTTAGGTCTCTTACTATCAACTTTACTGTCAGTTTCAAAATTCACCATTTATTTGACATAGTTGCGTCTCGCAGGGCGTTTATGGTATCTGAACGCATGATGCAGCGCTCTGAGTTCCCAATGTCCTGCCACGGTAACATGACAGGGCTGCAGCGTTCACTTGCAGTGGGCACCAAGAACCCGTGCCACAGCAGGCAGATGCCAACAGGGGTGAACAGGAAGAGCTCGGGGTATCCTGGGGTTACATAAATTTCTGACACGGAAAGATTTGCTATATGGGCTACAGCATAGCGGCCAGTGGATTATAAAGTGTAAGCACATACCTGATAGTTGCTACCTTTCCAGAACTTTTTCATCTCCTTACGACTCCAAGCAACGACTGAGGCAGTAATAAGTGTACAAGGTACTAAATAGAGGAGAGCAGGCTGCCCCTTCTTCATCAGCACAAGGACAACAAATGTAATTATCATGCCAACGGCATAGGCTGTGGGAAACAGAAGCAAGGTCAGTTTTACATGCTTCTAGGAGTGGCTTCTTCCTTCCCCATTAAAATACTAGTTTCCAAATATTTCTGACGATATCTTTAAACAAGGCCCATTTTTCATTATGTAGTTGTATCTGTGTCTGCATGTGGATTTGTGATGGTGAGTGCAGGCTCCTGCAGGCTCTTGCGGCTAGAGGGGCTGCGGGCACTAGCATTGGTGGTAGAGGCAGATGAGCCTCCTGCCAGGGGTGCTGTGATGTGGGAGTGATTTCTTATTAATAAAGAAACTGCCTAGGCCCATTTGATAGGCCAACCCTTAGGTGGGTGGAGAAAACAGAACAGAATTCTGGGAGAAAGAAGCTGAGTCAAGGAGTCGCCATGATTCTCCTGCTCCAGACAGACGCAGGTTAAGATCCTCCCTGGTAAGCCAGCTCGTGGGCTACACAGAATATTAGAAATGGGTTAGAACAATATGTAAGAGCTAGCCAATAAGAAGCTGGAACTAGCCGGGCCAGGCAGTGTTTGAAAGAATACAGTTTCCGTGTAATTATTTCGGGGCATCACCTAGCCATGCGGGCGGCCGGGTGCCGGGGACGCAGCCTTGCCGCTCCTAATGCAACAGTGCTGGGTTTTTACAGTTGCCTGCCATGACAGCTCCAAGTGGGTCTGATGCCTCTGGCCTCTTGGGGCACTGCACTGGCCAGAGGCACACATATACATATAATTAGAAAGAAACCAAATCTTACAGACTGCAGACTTCCTTAACAAGTACATACCAAACATTATTTAGACATTCCCCACTGATCCGGGGTGTCATATGAATGCATGCTCTCAAGACTGCTGAAACTGCAAACACCTTTACAGGCAATGTAGTCAGTCTGGCTACATAATGTAAAGCTGAGATGATGGAAGAAGATCGGGGAGGTTGAGTGAGCGGCCCACAGTCACACAGCAGAACTGACAAATACTCCTATCACTGCCTTTTGATGAGCATTCTTGACTCCATCATGTTGACCAGGATGTGCACCATGTGCATGCATGGTGCCCTCAGAGGTCAGAAACAGGAGTCAGATACCCAGGATACGCGGTTACAAACAACTGTGAGACACCAAGTAGAAGCTGGGATTTGAACCTGGGTCCTCTGCAAGAACGACATGTCCTCTTAAGTGCTATGTTGACTCTTCAGTCCTACACTTCACTGTTTAAAATCATAAAGTAACTGGACTGTCCTTACAGGTTATTTGAACGGGCTTTGGTTTACATATAACTGCTAAAGCAAGTGCTCTATCAACTTTTACTAGATTTGCTGTTTAATTTATTTCCGTGTTTTTAAGTGGTACTTAGCCACGTGGTGGTGGCACACACCTTTAATCCCAGCACTAGGGAAGCAAAAGCAGACAGATCTCTGAGTTCGAGGCCTGGCTAGTCAGCAGAGTGAGTTCCAGGAAAGCCAGGGCTACACAGAGAAACCCTGTCTCAGGAAAAAAGGAAAAAAAAAAAAAAGTGGTACTTATTGAAAGGGAAAGTATCAGCACAGGACCCCCAAGGCCAAGTCTTCAGCACAAAGGAGATTTATCTGTCCCAGAGGGACAAAGGACTGCCTCTGGATAGAGAGAGTAGACAGATGTGGCCCACGGGCAAATAAATGGTGGTGTATAAAGGTAAATGGGGAAACCCTGTGTTAGGATGAGGTGTTTAATTTTGATTGGACAGGTGAATTAAGTGAGCCAAAGGGGGCTTTTGATTGCTGGAATTCAATACTTTGATAGGTGAACCTTGGTAGTCAGCCTCAGGAGGAAGAAGTGGGGCTAACTTTAGGAATGTAATATAACCGTTTGTTGTTGTATTGTGTTGTTTTGTTTTTTAAGCAGGAATGGGAAGAAGGGCAAGGCCTGCCAGAGCCATGCTCACCGTGCTCAAGTTGGCCAGAATCTCTTCACTTAGCTCCCCACCACAATTTAGCTCATATTGTTAGTAACTACTTTTGGAGACATATTTCTGTGTGAGCCTTTAACATTTACTATTTAATTACTTATCTGTATTTATGTATTTATTTATTGAATCAGGGTCTCACATATTCAAGAATGGCCTCAGACTGCTGTAGCTGAGGATGATCCTTAATTCCTGGTCCTCCTGCCTCTATCAGCCAAATGTTGACATTACAGGCACATGCCGTCACACTGGTGTATGTGGAGCTGGGGGGCCACGCCTAAGGAACTGCACATGCTGGGCAGTTACTCCACCAACTGAGTTACTCCCACAGCCTGACATCTGCTTTCATAATTTAATATTTAAATACTATTTTATAGCTTTATGCTTTAGGGTTATGCACATGATCCATAACACTTCATGTAAAAGTCATAAAAAGAGGGAAATAGACTATTACTTTTAGCCCTTTAGCTTTTTCTCCATACAATATAATGCAACACAATAAAAAGAAACGAATTTTACCAATTGTGGATGAAATATAGTATATAGAAGAAGAACCAGTCTGAACATCGAATCTTCTACAATATGCAATCAAAAGGCCTAAAAGAAAATCCATATTATTTTCTTAAAACAGTAATGGCACTACAAATTCAACTGTTATAATGGGAAACAATACCGGTTGAATTTCACTCTTTTTTTGGACTACGAGAGTATTAAAATATCTTAAATCATGAACCAACTTTCATATGTTTATTTTAAAAAACTTGGTACCACACTTTAGACAATTCCCTTAATTTGTCCAAATAAACAGTATTTGAAAAACATGACCTTTATTAGCTACTCAATATTCCATATCAGAGAGAAAATATTTTTATGTTTCATTAATATACACATATTGAAAGACAATGAAGTTACATGAAATCTTCCACTCAACAAAGGAAGCAATCAACAGAACGAGAAAAGAGCCTGTGAAATGGGAATATCTGCAAACACAACTGATAGGGCTAATATCTAACACATGCAAGGATCCCAAACAAGCCAACAGTAAGAAAAACCAACCCAATGAGAAAATGGGAAAAGGACTACATCAGTATTTCCTGGATTTGCCTAGTAGGCCTGAGGCCCTAACAACAAATAACAAAAAATGAAAAGCAGGCTATGCATGGTGGCATAAGCTTGTAATTTAAGGATTTAGGAGACAGAGACAGGAGGATCATGAGATTGAGTCCAGCTTGGGCTACACAGCAAAGACTGTCTTAACACACAATTCTATGACGTGAGTCAGCAATACCACTACTGGGCAAAAACCCAAAGGAAGTGAAATTAGTATGGTAAAAAGACATGTTCAATATTCAGAACAGCCAAGACGTGAAGTCAATCTCAGTGATTACTAATAAATGAATGGATAAAGAAAATGCAGTACATATACAAAATCAAGTATTACTCCTCTTTGAAAAAGGAAACTGGGCTGCAGGGATGGCTCGGTGGACAAAAGGCTGGTTATCTCACTGTCCTGAGTGTGGATTCCTGCACCAACACGTGATAGCATGTTTGCCCCCTCCGTACCAGGGGAAGGAGACAGGTGAATCCCTGCCTCTCAAAGGCTGCCCAGGCTAGCTGAATCAGCGAGCTTCATGTCCAGTGAGGAATGCTATCTCAAAAATTAAGATTGAGTTGGAGAAATGGCTCAGCTGTTATGAGCACTGGCTGCTCTTCCAGGGTACCTAGGGTTCAGCATCCACATAGTGGCTCACAGCCATTTGTAACTCCAGTTCTAGGGAATCTGATACTCTCTCCTGACCTCCACAGGCACTGCACACATGTGGTACAGACTCACACGCAGGCAAAATACTCATAGGCACAATAAATAAAATACAAATTTTAAAGAGCCAGGTATAGTGGTGCACAAACTTTAATCACTCAGGAGGCAGAGGCAGGAAACATTCTTTGAGTTCAAGGCCAGCCTGGTCTACGGAGTGAGTTTCCCAACAGCTAGAGCTGTGTAGAGAGACCCTGTCTCAAAAAAGAAAGGAAGGAAGGAAGGAAGGAAGGAAGGAAGGAAGGAAGGAAGGAAGGAAGGAAGGAAGGAAGGAAGGAAGGAAAAAAGTGGAGAGTAAGGGACATCAATCTCTGGCTCCCCCCACACACACGGGTTGGGGAAGAAAAGGGGGAAGAGAAGAACAGAAATAAGAAAGAACATGAAAATCCTGCCCATTTGTGGTAAAAGCACTGTGATAAATCTGGTGGACACTCTATTAAGCAACAACAGCCAGCCATAGACAAACAAATACTGCCAGGCAGTGTGGTACATCCTTTATCCCAGTGCTGGGGAGGCACAGGCAAGTCATCTCCAACAGGCTCCAAAGCTACCGGGAGAAACCCTGTCTCAAAAAAAACAAAACAAATCAACAAGAGTTGTGGATGGTTCTCAGTGGCTCAGTAGCAGAGCTCTGGCCTAGAACGTGTGAGATGCTGGGTTCAATTCCCAGGATGGAAAAAGAAAAAAGGACAAACAAGTACTGTATTATCTCACTTGTAAGTAAAACTTCAAAGAGCTGAACTCATGGAAGTAGAATAAAATGGTGGGAGTGAGGAATGTTTGAGGAAAGAAATACTGACCAAAGGATACAAAGTTCACTCAGATAGAAGTAAATTCCAGAGACTCATCAAACAGCTCATTGATGGTAGTTAATAGCAGGATATTATCTGGAAACCCGCTGAGTGCATCTCAAGTGTTCTCATGACAGACAAAGTGAGGTATTGCACGTCAATCAGATTGTCATTCAACACTGTGCACACATTTAGAAAATATGTTATATGTAATAAAATAGATAATTTTATTTTTCAATTTTTAAAAAATGAATAAATACACATGGGTTTAAAATATATTGGAAATACATAAAAAGAGATAATTTTAGAAGATATTTAGAAGAATGATTTAAGGGTTTTTTTTGTTTTGTTTTGTTTTTTTCTTTTTCAAGACAGAGTTTCTCTGTGTAGCCCTGGCTGTCCAGGAACTTGCTCTGTAGACCAGGCTGGCATTAAACTCACAGAGATCCGCCTGCCTCTGCCTTCTATCAGTGTGTGCCACCACAACCAGCATCTAAGTTTTAATGCAAGTAATTTCATTTAAAAACTATTTCTTTCATGAGTTTGAATGCTTTTCCTGCATGTCTGTGTGAGCACCGTGTGTGCCTGCTGCCTTTCAGAGGAAGGTATTCTAACCCCTGGAACTGGAGTCACAGAGCTGTGAGTAACCTTGTGGGTCCTGGGACTGAATCTGGGTCCTCTGCAAGAACAAGACCCTTAACTGCTGATGCCCAGCCCCAGTACTAAGAATTTTAAAAAAACCAATGAAATAGCCAGGTGGTAGTGGCGCAGGCCTTTAATACCAGCACTTGAGAGGCAGAGGCAGGTGGATCTCTGTCAGTTCGAGACCAGCCTGGTCTACAAGAGCTAGTTCCACAACAGGCTCCCAAACTACAGAGAAACCCTATCTAGAAAAAGAAAATAAATAAATAAATAAACAAACAAACCAAAATATAAGCTCTCATTTGTACATGCAAATAAGCAGGAACAGCTCAATACCCATTTTTTAGAAGAAACTTGTTGAGCATCACCAAAGAAGATATCTCGTAATGTACATATTAACTAAGTATTTTTTAGCTATCCACCTCCAGGGTCTGTTCAGGTGAGGGCACTTGCTCCACCCATCTATAGCTCCCCCATATCTAGCCTAGATCTCACATCTAGTGTCCTTCCCGGCCTAGTCAGCCACTCCTGCTATGCTTCTCTCTACCTCTAGGTTTTCAACAGGTCCCTGTCTGCCCCCAATCTGCAGGCTACTGTGATCCATTTCCTAATCAATTATCTTTAACTATAAAGCTATGTAAGCTAGGGTTCTGGTGTTCCTTTCTGTCAATGGTACCTTGCTGACATCACTAAGGCACTTCCTAAACTTTGGAAAGCAACTGTGTTACTATAGCCAGCTTTTGGAGAGGATCACAAAATACGTTCTACAGGAAAAGGTTAAATGGATCCTTGCTGTTTCAAGATACTTTTCAGCTAGCAGACATTTCACTTTGGCTGTTTTGAGCGGTGATTTCTCTTTTACCCTACAAAAGACATTTTCTTTTACCTTTGTCATTGATCCCAGTTCAAATGACAGTCAAAAAAATGCAGAGCCTTGTAACTTTTAGCAGACGCTGTGAATACGACCCTTAAAACCATAAGTACAGTTTTGCTAAAATTATTATATTCACTTACCTGGTACAATAATATCTCCAAAACCCAATATTGAAACGGGCATGAAGCATACACTCATTACTGAGTAACAGATCAGCTTTGGCACCCTTATAAGTACTGGCAACTGTAAGAAAGAAAAGCAGAGAGGAGGGGGGAGGGCGGGGAGGCAGGAGAGGGAATGAGAGAGGGAGAGAGAAGAGAATGAGCCAATAAATCTCTTCCCAATCTCTCTAAGGAAGGGAAAGACTGAGTAGTAGTCGTTTTAATGTTTTTTAAACTGATTATTTAAAAGGAAACTTGGAATAAGAGGACATAAACATACAAACATACACATACATAATACATATATGCATTCTGTACAAAAAACTTAAAAGAATTAAGACATGTAGTTTTAGGAAATTAAATCCAACACATGGAGGATGAACAGTATTAATGCACTCCCCCCACAGCTAACCCTTTAATTTTTCTTTTCTTTTTACCAAGAATAGGACTCAGACCTTGATATGTTTCTTGTTTTGTTTTGGTCAATCTAGATTTTTCCCACCCAAAGAGTTTCCTCTCCAAGGGTATGATTTTAAAGTCCAATGAACTTATCTGAAAACAATCCTTACTTTCTCATGGGGAGCTGAGGGTTGAGCAGTGGCTTCCACAAAGTTTCCATCATTCTAGGATGAAACCCAAGTCAATAGGTATTTAATAATTTAGAATAACTAAGAAAAGGGCTATATTTGTGAGAAATAAGTTTTATAGTATGTTAACATGCACCCATGACCAATGAGTTACAGTAGGAAGGCAAAATTATGCAACAGACAGGCAGACACTGTGTGGACACCGCTGTCCACACCATCCCCACCTTTTCAGCGTTCTCGAAAGGCCCAGCTGCAAGTTCCACCATGATGCTCTCACCATTCTAAAGGGAGGAAGGTAAGAGATGGTTTTAGACATCTAAAGAAAACAACCTTCCACAATGAAGTATGATTGGCAGCCCATGGCACACAGTCTCCTGCCAGCTGAACACAGGCTATCAACTGCTTCCTTCTCAGCGTCTAGAGACAGCACAAACTGCAGTCATCTGAAACGAAACCCAGCTAGCACACCACTCTACTAGAGCTCAGTAATTATCAGACTGGCATGTATATCAAACACAGATTATTCAAGTGTATCTGGAGATCTGGATTATACTAGCTGACATCCAATATGGTAATAGATTATGAACTTTAAGTATTTTCATGGTTTTTTAACTATGTATACTATGGTTCTTATGGTTCTTAGTCATTTTCAACATCAAAAAAAGAGATACTAAAATCGTGTAAATTTAGCTTTCTACCAAATATAAGTAACCTTATTTGAAAAAATATGCATTTGACCTTCTGGGTATTTACCACAACAAAACTATGAAGCCAAATTTGAAAATACCCAACCTTATAGAATATGAGAGCCCGATTCCCATTCAATCCTGCCTCCTTCTTTTGTTCCAATCATAGCATTTTCCTGAGTGATAGGTAGTTAAGATCCTGTGTCTGCCGAAGTCTTTTCTGCCGGCTAGACAAGGTGTTCACTACCAAGTTTTCTCTTGTGGCCCAGTCTGCTTAAAGATAAAACTTTGAGATAGCAGGCTAAAAATGCACAGAGCACTCTTTTTGCTGTTGTTTTGAGGTAGCTAAGGATGACCCTGAACACCTGATCCTCCTGCCTCTGGGACCTCCCAAGCTCAGGGATACAGGCATGCACCAGTGCACTCAGCTGGAGGAATCTACTTTTATGTTTCATACAAAACAAAACATATCAGCAGACTAGGGAGAAAATGCATAAAGCTGAATTTTAGTGAAAGACAAAAATCAGGAATGAACATCTGATACACATTTTTAGTTACCTAATAAGAAAAAGCTTATGATCGTAAGAACAAAGGTGTCCAACTGAGAAGGTATTAAATGAACATTTACAAAAATGAGTTCCAAAGAGAACCTCCAGCTGTTTCTACTACAACAGATTGCTAGAAACTACAGGCCTACAATGACAAACAAAAAAGATTTTTAAAAAATGTCCTAATTGTAACAGTTTACCCCGTCCCTTTAAGAGACAAGCCCAACCCACCCCCACCCCGCTCTGCCTAGGCAAGCAGATCTTCCTATCTTCCTTCCACTTCCAGCCTGAGCTCCTCCCTTTCTGTCTCTCTCCCAAGAAGTAGCTTCTGCTTCTTTTCCTTTTCCCCACTTCTCCCCTTCCTCCTTCTTCCCCCCTCTGTTTCTCTTTCCCTCTCCTTCTCTCCTCTCCCTTCCCCCTTCCCTCCTCTTCTCTCTCTCTCTCTCTCTCTCTCTCTCTCTCTCTCTCTCTCTCTCTCTCTCTCTC